GGATAGAGGCCACACCTCTGAGAATCCAGCAAGCGCCTTTACCCTTGGGAGGGGGGATTAGAGATCCCCACATCCTACAGGTGAGCCTTTGCCAGGGAATGCATCAAAGCCACTTTGGTAGTTGAATCACTGGGGCCAGCATCTCAGTTTCTTTAATAAAGCCTTAAAACTGGGAGGCCCTGGCGGTTTCCATGTCCTGCACCTGGGTGTGGAGAGAAAAGATTCAAGCCCTGAATCACTTACCTTTATCTGACTGGCATTGTTCAGCTTACTTGGCATATTACTTAACATCTAATTTGCTTCTCACAGCCCTTGGAATAGGCATTATGCCTTTTTTTTTTAGGTGAAGAGGCAGAAATTCAAGGAGCATTAGTGACTTGCCCAAAGCCACACAGCTAATGAGGAGTGAAGTTCAGCGTGAGCCCCGATTCCAACCCCAGAGCAATGCCTTTCCCATTTCTGCTGCCTCTGGGACCCAGCCCCCCTCAGGTCAATAGAGGTCATGGAGAGGTCGCCATCTCCGGGCTCTGACAGGCCCCGTGTGACTTGAGTGCCACCAGGCACAGTTCCTTAACTTCTTTGAGTTGGTTTCCTCAACCATGAAACAGGTAAAAATCCCAATCATCCAGGTCACGTGGCAGAAGACAGGGTGGGAGGTGTGGAGAGAGGCGGGGTCACCACTGCCCTGAGGGTCCCCTTGGCAGAAAAGAGAGAAAGGAAGCAGCTGCTGCCTCATCCCCAGACCCTGCTCTCCACCATCCTCAGGAACTACAATTTTTCTGCCTTACTCTACACAGGATCAGCAGAGACATATGTTCATAAAATTTTTCTGAAAATATTCAATTTGTAGAAAGCCTCTTAACTGTATGAACCGTGAAGACATTGTACTGAGATAAACTAGTCACAAAAAAACAAATACTATAGATTTTACTCACGGGAGGTTTCTAAAGCAGTCACATTCACAGAGGCAGAGAGTAGAATGGCGATTGCCAAGGGCGGGAAAGGGGAACAAGAAGTTGTTAATGACGACAGAGTTTCAGATTTTTAAAAATGTATTAATTGATTTGAGAGAGGAAGGGAGGGAAGGGGGGGAGAGAGAGAAATAGAGAAACATCAATTTGTTGTTCCACTTATTCATTCATTCATTGGTTGATTCGTGTATGCGCCCTGACTGGGGATCAAACCCAAACCTCGGGGTATTGGGACGACGCTCTAACCAACCGAGCTAACTGGCCAGGGCCCAGAGTTTCAGTTTTGCAAGAGGTAAAAAGTTCTGGAGATAGGTGGTGGTGATGGTTGCACGACAATATAAATGCACTTAATGCCACTGAACGGCACACCTTAAAATGGTTAAGATGGTAAGATTTATGTATTTAATCCCAATTGAAAAAAATTTCTGGGGGAAAAAATGCCTCTTACTCCTGCGCATTATGCTTAGGTTTCTTCGGAGGCAGTGGGAACTTTTTTCTATGTGGTTACAGTTGGGTTACCTTTTAAACAGGGACTCAAGTTAGTGTTTAAGGCGTAAATCACCCTTGGAAAACCCCGGTGTGGCCCACGGAGTAGGTGAGATTAGGGCTGTCACTGCTGGTTTTTCTTGTACTGTTGGAACAAACACTGTTTCTTTCAGCATCAACTGAAATAGTTGGTAGATGTTCAGGACTCATAACAAAATGTGTATTTTGAGAGACTCCCAGTGTGGGGCATTCATCCTAGGAGGGGTCCTCAGACCAAGGCCTGCAGATTCCCTCCCCGCCCTCAGGGTGGGGTACAAACGAGCAGACTGGGCACTCGCCAGCTTTACTGAAAGTGTGGTTTTCTTTCTCTTCTTTGTCTCCTGCAGAATTGATTGAGTCCAAGCTGAATGGGTTTGTGAGGTGGCTCCACTGAGGTGACTTTTGTTCAGTCAAACGACACTGGGCATGTGCCTTACTATCACCCCTCTGTCCAGCTGATTCTGATGGGTTTTAAACCCTAAATTGTTCCTCTGACCTTTGACCACATCTATCAGCCATAGAAAAATGGCCCCTCGCCCTGGCCCGTGTGGCTAGTTTATTGAGCATCATCCCATGCACAAGAGGTTGTTGGTTCAATTCTTGGTCAGGGCACAAGCCAGGGTTTTGGGCTCAATCCCCAGTAGAAGGCTCTAGGAGGTAGCCGATTGATGGTTCTCTCTCATGGATGTTTCTCTCTCATGGATTTTTCTCTCTCACTCTTCCTTCATCTCTCTCTCTCAAATCAATAAAAACATATTTTTAAAAAAGTGTTTAAAAAAAGAAAAAATGGCCCCTTCCCCCCACCAGGTACCCACTGCAGGCCACATCTCACAGATACTCCCAGACACCTGCTCAACCTAAAAGTCTCCAACTTTAAATAAGGTTCTTTTCAGACCAAAGATCCAATTCCTGAGGCCAAAGTTCAAATCTAAATGATAGGGCTCCTAGCTTTTCAGAACTCTCTCTTCAAATAATAAAATACTCCAAAAGTAAGTGGTTTGAGCAAAACTCCCAGAAGACCTTATCAAATAAAACAATGGGTGTGAGCTGGCCCTGTCTTTCAGACAACCAGTTTGAGACAGGTTAGGCAGCAGCTAGCCCATTTCCAGGCGTGCTGGGGCCTCCAAATGGATGAATCAGTGAGCAGCTGCCCAGGAGCAAGCCTGCCACCATTAGTCTGGCGCTCATCTAGAGCAATAGATTCCAATTGGCAATAAATTCAGGTCATTATGCCTAAAGATGGAGAAGTAAACTACTTAAGTGGAGGCTATAAATTTTAATCCAGATTCTGCCATTAAATACTTTGCTATCCCCAAGCAAGACTTTCTATCTTGATTTTTCTCATCTATAAAATGAGAAGAGATCTGTAGAAGTACACAAAAATGAAAGAGAGAGCGAAAAAAGTGAAATGCTTACCGATGACGTCGCTTATTTTCTACCCTGCAATGCACTTGATTGTAAATATGAACAGGAGAAAAGTGACAACATTTGGATTTATTTACATAACCACAGAGAGGGTCCCTCTGGGATCTCATGGTTGATTTTTCTATATTAGTTTGGCTTCAAGCACCAGGTGAACGACACAGCTGAGACACATGAAGACACTAAGACCATAAACACTTGCGAGCATAAGCAGAGGAAAGGGTGAGCAGAAATCAGATCTGTCAAGCGGGAGCAGCTGGTGACCTTAGTGACCGATAATGGAAATATCGTTAATGGAAAATGCTCTGCACTAGGACTCTGAAGAGATCCATTGGGCTCCAATCCCATCTCTGCCACCACACAACTGTGACACTGAGCGACTCACTGAAACTTCCCCAGACGTATGAAATACTCAGACTGTCCTGCTGTTACCCCAGGACTGGCTGTGCAGTTCCAACAAGGTTCACATGTAGGTGAATAATGGAAACTGGACATGTTAGACCAGGTGAGGAGTTATTATCGCATCCCTTCCTAACAGGAAACACTGAGGCACTAGAAATATTATGAACCTTCTGCTAGGTCCCTGAGCACAGAACTCACTCCCACCCCGACACTCCAACTCTAAGCAAAAGGGCAGAAGAGCTTAGTTGCCAGTAGTTTAGATTCCTGAGTCTGATTGTCTGAGTTCCTAATCCCAGCTCTGCCATGTATGAGCTTTGTCACTTGACACAGTGACTTACTTGGCCTATTCATATATAAATTGGGGAGATGATGAAATTACTTGATGGAATTGTAGAAGATTGACTGTTGCATATTAATAAGCCCTGTTATGGACTAAATGTCTGTATCCCCTCCCCCAATTTACATGTTGAAGCCCTAGTCCGAAATGTGATAGTATTTGGAGGTGGGTCCTTGGGAGGTGATTAGATTTTGAGGTCACAAGGGTAGGCCTCCATGATAGAATTAGTGTCTTTATAAAAAGAGAGAGGTCTTTTTCTCTCTATCATGTGAGGTCATAGTGAGAAAGTGGCCATCTGCAAGCCAGGAAGAGGGTCCTCACAAGGAACTGAATCAGACTGCAACTTGCTCCTGGACTTCCTGACCTCTGGGACTGTGAGAAATAAATGTCTATTGTTTAAACCTCCCAGTCTATGGTATTTTTCATGGCAGCCCGAACTGACCAATACATTCTCAAAGAGCTTAGAACAGTTTATAGGAAAACATTCAATAAATATTAGCATGTATTTATGTTTGGCTCTTTGGATACTTTATTAAGAAATGTTGCAGTCAGCCCTGGCCAGTTTTGCTCAGCGGTTGGAGCGTCGGCCTGCGTTTCAGAGAGACCCGGGTTCGGATCCTGCTAAGGTCACATACCTCGGTTGCAGTTTGTCCCTGGCCCTGGTTGGGTCGTGTGGGAGGCAGCCCCTCAATGTGTCCCTTTCACATTGATGTTTCTCTCTCTCTCTCTCTCTCCCCCTCCCACTTTATTTGAACAAAAAAATGAAAAAATGTCCTTGGGTGAGGATAAAAAAAAAAAAAATGTTGCAGGCATTCTAAAACATTTAAAGAATAATATAACAGCATACTCATTACCCAACATAAGATATGAAACATTACCAATACAAGTTGAAGACCCTATATACCTTTTCCAATCACATTCCCTCCTTCCTGCCCAGAGGTAACTATGCTTCGGAATTTGGTATTTATTATCCCCATTATTCTCTTTATACCCTTATTCCATCTGTACATATCTGTAAATTATGAGACAGGGCTGGAAACACCATTAAGCCAGGAGTGACGTGCACTTCTCCCAGAAAGATTTCGACATCGTGTCTAGCTTAGCACAAAGGAGTGTTTGGCAAGCATGTCATCATCTGTGACCTCGCTATGGGTGCCTTTTCACTCCCCTGAGCTGGGAACTTGCTAATATCTCCAAGTGGACTCATTGATGATGCAAACCATTAGTTGAGTCCAATTAGCGGGTCTGTGCTTGTCAGGAGCTGTGGAGCTGCAGTCCATCGTTGTCCCCCCCCCCCCCCAATCCTTTCTAGCTCAGCTCTAATGGCCCCTCCTCCCTTCCAGATGGAGATGCGGCTGCAGGACCAGCAGCTGGCCAGACAGCTCATGCGCCTGCGCAGTGACATCAACAAACTGAAGATAGAGCAGACCTGTGACCTCCACAGGCGGATGCTCAACGACGCCACCTATGAGCTGGAGGAGAGGGATGAGCTGTCAGACCTCTTCTGCGACTCTCCGCTGGCCTCCTCCTTCAGTCTCTCCACACCACTCAAGCTCATTGGAGTCACCAAGATGAACATCAACTCCCGGAGGTTCTCTCTCTGCTGAGAAGCCCTAGAACAGGGCAGAGGAGCCAGAACAGAGGGTTTGGGAAGCAGAGAGGGGGTGTGAGAAGGGAGGTGAGGGTGAGTCACCCCAAGTGGGTCTCCTCGGAGGCAGAGCTTCCCTGAGACCGGTGAACTGTGGACTCCCCAGGACCTGTCGACAGGTGATCTCCCCAGGGTCCCAGCTTTGGAGCCTAGTATCCCCATGACTGGCTACCCAAAGAGTCCTGCAGAAGGGCTACTCCATCCTGATGTTCAGACGGGTTTCCAGCATGACCCGTCTCAGTCCTCCCCTCAGTGATCCATATTCCTGTTTTCTGGAATCACTGGTGCTATAAGAACTGGGATCCCGAAGCAGGGAGAGGGTAGCAAACGCTGGGATTCTTGCAGAAGGCTTCCCCATGGGCACTGAGCCCCCAGGGAGAGGTGATTAGATGTATCAGATGTGCCCATCTTGCTGTGGCTGTCCTCTAAGTACTGGCTCAAATTCACCCCAAGTAGATGACTCAACAGCCTTGACAGGCTACAATGTAAATTGTATCCAGAAGGCTACAATGTAAATTGTATTCAGTGTATGCTGGGACACACCTGTGTAGCTCGAGTAGGGCAAGCAGAGATGCCCTCTGTTGCCTTCCCGGCCACATACACCAGTGCCAATCTCCAAAGAGTCCCTCTGCCATCACACCACCACCCTGGGGGAGTGCCTAGGAGACCACAGGCAGGTCTGTCTGTGGATTTCCCATAACTGAATCCTCCCTGGGGCCAGCAAAGGTCTCCTGGTGGATTCCAACAGTGTCACCTACGTCACCTTCTTGCCTCCCCAGAAAAACTTGAGGGAGCCCAGATGCTGGCCCTGAGCTCCTCTGAGATTCTGTGCCTGACTTAAATGACTAATTTTAATTGAATCAGACTGTTACTAATCTGTCACTAACCTGTTAATAACTGTTTGGTTTTTGTCCAAATGTTGAAGCCAGTTGGCTAGGTCAAGTACAGAGGTTTAAGATTTTATTTTAAAAGGTTCTTCCTAACCACAAGCATGACGATCAAGAAGGCGAGGACTGAGACCTGAGCAGGTTAGGAAAGTTAACCTGGTAGAGTGCCACATGTCAGGTGTTGCCCCACAGCTAGGAATTTTTAACCTTTGATGTCACCTCGCCGAGACCTCTCATTCACAGAGGAATAAGGTGAAGCCAGGAAAGGAGAGCATGACTTCCCTCAGGTTACACAGCTCATTAATGGCTATAAAATATCGATGCGTTAACTTGTTATTGATAAAGCCTAGACAGATTGTATATCAATGAACTTGAACTCCAAAGATGGTCCTAAATCCTTTGCCAAACCTATAAACTGCCAACCCTTCTACTCTCCACTTCCCTGAGCCCCAGCGTGCACCTCCCACTTTGCCATTCAGAATATTTGGGTCACACTCAGAGTAATGTCTGGACAGCAGACCCACAGAACACATATCACCGATCACTAATCCGAGCAGGACATGCTGCTCTGACTTTCATGTTGTATCTTCTTGTATAATCTAATTGGGGCTCTGTGCACGCACACACATACCAGGACCCACATCGGGAAAAGGTTGCTTTTCTTTTTGTTTTCCCTTTAAATATGTTTCTTTAATTGATTTTTAGAGAGAGGGAGAGAAAGAGAAACATCGATGTGAGAGAGATGATACCTCCCAGACACCCCCACCAGGGATCAAACCACAACTCGGGTATGTGCCCTGACTAGGAATCGAACCAGTGACCTTCCGGTGCACTGACAATGCCGATCAGCGTGGTTGCTTTTGTTTTGTGGTCGGGGGGTAGGAAGATACAAGTGAATGGTCCCCAGTTAGACAGAAAAGATGTTGGTCTCTTCCTTGTGCTTTCTAGGAGCTGGAGGATTTATGCTTCCTTCAAAGAAGCCAGATTCGTTTGGGCCCAACTCTGAGTAGTGACATAAATCCAAGGCCCAGAGGACTCATTTATGGAGACTCGGAGGGAGGCCAGCCCCTCTTAGGCAGGAAAGGAGGGAGAAGGTCTCTACTCTGGAATACGTGCGAACACTGCCAAGTTCCGCAGAGGCCTCCCAGCTAGGCTTCTTCGAGGCATGAGGTGGTGGGGTGTCAGGGCCTGTGCACACTCACCACACACACACATGCACATACTTGCACAGAAAAGCTCATTCCATATTCTGGAGGAAAAAAAAAAAGCCAAACTGATTTGTTTTTTTCCTTCTAGAAATCAGTCATCACAGTAACTAAAAAAGTTGAAATCAACTCAAGTTCAGTGATCTCGCTGAATTTTGTCAACCCAATTGAATTGGAGTCAACTGGGCAATTTAGTTGCTCAGTTAGCCCGATGCATTCTTGCTTTTCTGTCTTGTGAGGGGAAACTGAGCTCAAGGCACATTTTTTTTTTTTTTTTTTTTTTTTTTGATAGATTAGCTATTTCAGCTACTTTGCTCAGTTCATCCCAAGAGAACTTTATTTGGGGATAAGGAAGGAGGGGGGATCAGAGAAGAGAGATGGAGGGGGAAAGACAGGTGTGTTTGCTTGTTGTCCAGTGTCTGTGACTTTCCTTATTTCCAGGGAACACAAATAACTAACCTGGTCACTTCAGACGTCCCTGCCTTGTGTAGGTCAAGAGATGCCAGCTCCTCAGAGCCACCTCCTGGCTTACCTCGTGTATACAACACTGTTTGCAGTTTTACTCATTGTCTACCCATTGCCCTCCTCCAGGAGCCCTGGGTGTGACACTGAAGTCTCCGTTGCCACTTCTGTGTGCGGTAATGTCTGATGCCTTCCCGGGCTCAGCAGTGATCACAGAGGCCTGGAGAGCCTGGGCAGCCCCCAGATGGCCTGACCCAGCCCTAGGCCTCCACCTTGTAGCAATACCAAGTGCTATTACATAATCGATGGACAATTTATAATTTTATTTTTTATGATTATTTGTTTCTATATTGCTGTTAGAAAAAGTGAAATAAAAATATTTCAAAAGAAGATATCTCTATAAAGAGGAGAAATGGGCTTCCTTGTATATTGTTTCTCTTGCAGCATAGGGCCAAGTACTTAATTGGAAGGAAGGAAGGAAGGAAGGAAGGAAGGAAGGAAGGAAGGAAGGAAGGAAGGAAGGAAGGGAGGGAGGGAGGGAGGGAGGGAGGGAAAGAAAATAAAGATTTGAACAGTCAACCACTGAATGGAGAAAAACATTCACCCTAATCACCCTTTTTCCTCTGTGGTTCCTTCTGCCAAGGGGCTGCTTGGTGGTTGCTGCCACCAGGAGCTCCCCATGTGGGCTAAGTGAACTAGCTCAAGGTGTGGAGTGAGAGATGCAGTCATTATGCTGATTTCACCAAGGCAGCTCCATTCTCCTGCAGTGGTCCCTCCAACGGGGACTCTGACTGAACTCAGAGTATTTGGTCAAGCTCATAGCAATGCCTGGACAGTGGAACCACAGGACATGTATTTTAAGTCCCAGTTCCAGCACTGAAGTATGGTGCTTGGCATTACCATGCCCTGAGAACTCGTGCCCTAAACTTTCTCCGCCTCTCCAAGTAGCAGTCCTCAAGTGAAGCCTGCATGAGGATCACCTGGAGTGCCTGTTGCGGAGGCATATTCCCGGGAAAATCCCTGGGCTCCACCCCAAGGATGCCACCGTACAGCCCTGGCATGGGCCTAGCAACCTGTTTTTAATAAATGCCCCAGGAAACTGACACAGGGCTCCACAGGCCCTGATAAACCTTCCCAAGGACAGCGTGGGCAAGGGAAGGCATTGCTTGGATCGCTCCCATCTCAGTGGTCTCAAGAGAGGCCTACATCGGAGGGTCCAAGCAGGCGTTAGCAATCCCATTTTATGGGAAGAACAGTTGAAAAGAAGTTCTCTGCAGTCCCTTGAGATGAGATCACCTGCCTACGACAAGGTCATGAATGACTAGATGCTTCCCACAAAGAGCGGGTTACTAGGTCAGGGGCAGAGTGGGCACTTGGAAACCCACCATCACCATTGGCTGTGTGGTTCCGAGGGCCCTCAAGCCATTGGGCCTTTCCACCCCTCCAGATGGGACCACACATGCACCCTTTTCACCCCAAAGGGAAATTCCTCTAATTTGGCCTCCAAATAAAAAGTCATTTGCAAGTGCCACAGAGAAGATACAATGTGATGACCGCGTCATTGTGTGGGAAGGTTTCTCTGAGAAGGTGCTGTCTCAGCAGCAAAGGGCCACGCAAAGGTGAGGAGAGAGAGGGTTCTGGATGGAAACAGGGAGCCCGAACCTGAGGCAGGAAGGAGCACGGTCTGCACATGGCCAGAGTGCGGAGCCATGCTGGGAGGTGAGCTGCTAAGGCTGGGGCCGCTGCGGCAGCCTCGTGTTCCGAGTGAGCAGTCTGGGTTTTATTTGGGTTGTACGAGAAGTGTCTTGAGATTTTTGAGCAGGGAAGTGTAGTATAATCTGATTTAAATGTTAGCGATATCTACATGGAAAGTAAGGGGGAGGGGGCAGGGGTGGAGTCAAGAAGAATGAAGAGGTGATCACAGTAGACAGGATAGTGATAGGGACTTGGCGGCTGTGAGGGGAGACAAATGGTTTCGTTCAGGATTCCCTTTGGGACAGACTTTGGAGGTAAAGCCACCAGCACACGCTGATAAATAGCTTGATGTGGAATGCGAAGGACACAGCAGCAGCTGGATGGAAAGGGGGCTGCCATTTACTGAGGTGGAGAAAGTTTGAGGGGACCACGACTAGGGGTAGATGGGCGGCATCGGTAGTTCTGTTTCAGACATGTTATATCGAAACGGCAGTTAGACATCCAACCTGGGAGGGAGTAGGTGGTTGAATAATAGGACCTGGACTCCAGGGAAAGGCCAACGTTGGAGACATAAATTTGGGAATACGGATCTGGGTGTTTGGATACTATTAAAAGCACCCTACCTGGATAAACTCTAAGAAGAGAATGTAGACATAAGAAAAGGGGGCTAAGAACAGCATCCTGGAGCCTGTCTAGAGGACTGATGGAGAAAGAGGAGCCATCAGGAGACTTAAAGAACAGCTAGCCAAGTAGAAGGAAATTCAGAAGAAGGGGACGTTGAGGCCTTAAAGAAGACAGTGTTTTATGGAGAGAGTCATCAACATCAGATGCTGCTGAGAAATCGAGGAAGAAGCGGACAGAGATAAACAGGTTTCAACAAGATGGAAATCTTAGTCATTTATTACAGTCGTAACAAGCATTTCAGTTCAGGGCAAGCACGGACGTCCAGTGTGTGGACTGAGAACATGGGAGGGGAAGAAATGGGGGACGCAAAGAGAGACCCATCTTTCAAGGCAGTTAACTATAAAAGGAGCAGAGACTAGGAAATGGACAAGGAAATGATTTTCAGTTTTCTTGCAACAATCTATAATAAGATACATGTCTAAAATAGTAACACTGCTTATTAACAATGTGTAACAATCAGAATGTGTAATGGAAGTGTTGGCATCTGAGATCTGCCAATGGGAATAATCCGTTGGAGAGGGAGAAATTGATGGTGCACCAGAGAGGAGGTAATTATAGCAGTGACATTCTTCTTCTTCTTCTTTTTAATATGTTTTTATTGATTTCTTAGAGAGACAGGAAGGGAGAGAGAGAGAGAGAAACATCGATGTGAGAGCGAAACATCAATTGGCTGCCTCCTGCACGGCCCCCACTGGGGATCAAGCCTGCAACCCAGGCATGTGCCCTGACCAGGAACCAAACCGGGACCTCTCAGTTCTTGGGACAACGCTCAATCCACTGAGCCACACCAGCCGGACTTCTTTTCTTTTTCAATTGCAGTTGACATTTCATGTTATTTTGTTTTTGTTTCAGGTGTACAGCAGCATGGTTAGATAGTCATCATACTTCACAAAGTGATCCCCTT